GGGCTCTGTGCTAACAGCTCAGAGCCTGGAGCCTGCTTCAGATTCTGTGTCTCCCTCTCTCTGCCCTCCCCTATTCGTGCTCTCTCTCTCTCTCTCTCTCTCTAAGAAAAAATAAATACTAAAAAAAAATTTTTTTTAGTAACATGAAAGTTTCAGGAAATCAAGATATAAAGGCCAAGAGAGCTATTTTACTATCGTCTTTATTTTGTACCCACAGGCACTACTACCACTGCCAGTGATTTTTTTTTGTTTTGTTTTGTTTTGTTTTGTTTTGTTTTGTTTTCAAGAACCTAAGCAGCTCAGGAATGCTACTCATTGGCCTTGGGGGTGGACACATAGCATCTGCCTTTAACACACAGACCAACCGTGTGAGAAACACTGGAAAACTGCTTGAAAGGAGGAGTCCCAATCTTCTGGAAACATGAGATCTTCATCAGAGCAACAGCTCACTACTCTCAGAAGTTTCCTGATGCTACCAGACTGCCTTCTATTTGCTTTCATTCATGCACTCGTGCACCAAACACTTACCCAGTACAATCATGTGCACTACGCTAAGTGCTTGTGATAACACGGTGAACAAGCCACAGTCCCTGCTCTTGTGGCACTTACATTCTAGTGTTGACAGAAAAACAGTAAAAAAGAGAAACACCAAAGCAAACTGGGGATCACATACTCAAAGGTGACATGAGCAAATGTGACTGGACAGAGGAGGGCTGATTTGGACTGGGTAGTGTGGTATTCCAGCTAAGATCCAAACTGTAGGTCAGCCAGGCGAGAAACTGAGGGACAAAGTATTCCAGGAAAATGTCTTGAGGCAGCAAAATAAATCTGGGGTGTTTACAGTACACAAAGAAGTGTGGCTAGAGCACAGTGAGTATGGGGAGAGAGAAATAGGTGAAATTTAAGAAGCAGACAGGATCTAGATGACGTAGAGTCTTATGGGCTAGGACGAGGAGCTTGGAATTTTGCTTGCTATTATTTCATATACCCTGACTATTATTAGGAGACCTGAATTTGCCTGTTGCCTTGTCTCTTCCCTCTTACCTCCTGAGACTGGGCTCTCTGCTTTTGCATTTTCCCTGGTTTTCTGTCTCTGCCTTTAACCCTGCTTAGCCCAGATAGGCTGATAGGACTTAAGCCTGAATTATGTCAAAATGTCATTCCATCTACTTGGGGCAAAGTGTCCTTTCAAAAGCAGGGTCTTAGGGGCGCCTGGGTGGCGCAGTCGGTTAAGCGTCCGACTTCAGCCAGGTCACAATCTCGCGGTCCGTGAGTTCGAGCCCCGCGTCAGGCTCTGGGCTGATGGCTCAGAGCCTGGAGCCTGTTTCCGATTCTGTGTCTCCCTCTCTCTCTGCCCCTCCCCCGTTCATGCTCTGTCTCTCTCTGTCCCAAAAATAAATAAACGTTGAAAAAAAAAATTAAAAAAAAAAAAAAAAAAAAGCAGGGTCTTAGACTGCACAGGTGACCTATCCATGGAGCTGGCCCTGATCTTGATAAATATTATTTGAAAAAAATGCCTTCTATAGATGAATAATTTGTTTCATTTCACCTGATCTGTCAATTACATAAACTTATTCAAGATCTTTTAAATGGAGTAGCTCTTCAAACTTGTGGCTTAAAGGAAGCTGCCAGGAAATAAGAAACTAGAATGTTAAGACTTACTGAGACAACTTCATGCCATCACTGTGCACAATCACTGGAAACGGTGAATACCCAGCTTATTCTCAGGCAAACTATAATTCATTTGCTCTCACTATTTATTGAAATACATTACTTTTCTTCTTTTAGGTATGAGGAAATTATTATAATAAGTAGCAACGAAATAAACAACTGTTTGCTAGGTGTTTCATATTGTCAAATGGATCTAGTAATTTTATTAGCCAAATAGCTAAGAAATGCAGCTCAGTGACTAACATATTAAGCTTTAAGTAGCAATTTCCATAATTTATGTGATACATAAAAATACTAAAAAAAATGTACTTACAAATCAAAATTTTAAAATAATACATCGTTATAATGTTTAAGTCTTTGGGGAGTCTGGGTGGCTTAGTCAGCTGAAGCTCAGGTCATGATCTCGCAGTTCTTGAGTTCGAGCCCCATGTTGGGTTCTGTGCCGACAGCTTGGAGCCTGGAGCCTGCTTCAGATTCTGTGTCTCCCTCTCTCCCTCTGCCCCTCCCCCTCCCACACTCTGTCTCTCACTCTCTCAAAAATAAATAAACATTAAAAAATTAACAAAAAAAATCATCTTTAAGTCTTCACAAAGCCTGAAAACCAATAATCGGTTAAAATATATGACTATCAAATGGTATCTATTTTTTTCCCATTTTTTCCTTCTTTTCCCACCTTCAAGCAATTTGCTCACCCTCACCCCACAAAATAGTTTGTATAACAACCAATTTTACGTATTATGTAAAACTGAACATGATCATAGCTAACTAGAACACGTTCACAAGGTTTAATTACTTACTGCTAAAGAATAATATTACACATTAGAAGTGCCACGTCTGAGATGTCAGCCCAGCCCCTAATATTTTCAGTCTGTAATCAACACCTCTACCTGCAAAACACGGCTGTACTAACCTTGCCCTGAGGTGCTCCTAGTCCATTCACGGTAGAACTCATTACTTAGCATTAGTTATCATATGATTTATGCAATATCACAAGCACACTCAGACTCGTGAGAATTACAGCCAACACCATTTTTACTGCTATCAAGATTACTGTACCTTGGAAAGGAATAGTTTCATTTGCAATTACAAAACAAAATAATAGATGCCAAGACAAAGACACTATCACTGACATATTTATACGGTTACCTGTTGCTACATGGAAGGGGTGCCTGGAGAAAACAAAATGGTTGAAGGGAATGCATTGTTGGCTTCAATGACACCAACGTTTGCATGGGGTTTGTGTCTATGTTGTGAGAAACTTAATATATGTCAGGTCTTGTCCTGACAATGAGGTATAGGAACGAAGGTAGAGAGGGATGAAGAAGATTTTCAGACTTAATACAAGTAAATTTATAGAAGCAGAGCATCTTGAAGTTTTTGTGATGGAGGAGGAAAGAGTCAGAAGATGCTTGAATGTTACTGGCTTTGCAATTTTCTGGCCCTGTGCCTACAAGTTAATCAACTACTCATATACTCTCAAGGTGACCATCATTACTCACTGCAACTGCCTTCTAACCTGCTCTATTTCCATTTTTGCCCTCGCTCCCTTTAATCTATTCTCCACAACAGAACCAATGTGTTTCTTAAAAAATGTGAGGGGCGCCTGGGTGGCTCAGTCGGTTAAGCGTCCGACTTCAGCTCAGGTCACGATCTCGCGGTCCGCGAGTTCGAGCCCCGCGTCGGGCTCTGGGCTGATGGCTCGGAGCCTGGAGCCTGCTTCCGATCCTGTGTCTCCCTCTCTCTCTGCCCCTCCCCCGTTCATGCTGTCTCTCTCTCTGTCTCAAAAATAAATAAATGTTAAAAAAAATTAAAAAAAATAAAAATAAAAAAATAAAAAATGTGAATCAGATCACATCACTTACATGCATCAACCTTAATTCTGCAATAGCTTCCTACGACTTTTAGAATAAAGTCCAAACCCTTGGACGTGGCTTAAAAGGCTATTATCTGGCCCCTGTATACCTGTTTTGACCTTATTTCCTACTACTTTTCTCCGTGCTCCCTATGCTGGGTACACACTGGCCTCATTTTTGCTCTTTTATTTAGCTCTTTCTTGCCTCTGGGCCTCTGTGTGACCTGGAACTGCCATTGTGCAGGTAGGTTCCTTACGATGCAGGACTAGGCTCCAATGTCACATCTTCAGAAAGACTCCACTCCCTCTTCTCATCATTATTTTTAATCACACTCTCCTATTCTATTGTCCAGCTGTACTGATTGTTATCTGAAATTCCCTCATTTATACATCTGTTACTTGATAATCTCCCAGGTCCCTCAGTAGAAAGTACACTTTATCATAAAGAAGTGATTCATGTTTGACTTTCTCTGCGCTGTAGCCTCAAGTAGGTTGAACACGGTCTGGCCCATGGAAAAATTACAAAAAATAAATTAAATGGTTTTATTAAATAAATGTTCTTTAACACCAATTTTAATAAATAAATGTTATTTATTTACGTCTCAGGCTTTCGGCCTCCTCATCCATAAACGGGGGATAATCCTACCTGTGCCAGTCATTAGAAATAGAGTCTAACGTTTACTAAATTTTTACTATGTCTCAGGCACTGTGAAAGTCACTTTATACGCATATTCTTATTTACGATTATGCTTTCCATTTTACACAAAAGGCCACCACGTCTTAGGTCAAATAACTGGCCTAAGGACACAGGGCCATAGTGTGACGCAGGTATGACCCCGGAGCTGCCAGAGCTCAGAACGTGGGCTTTTTACCCACTACTTTATAGTTCCTAGAAAGATGCTTCCTTCCATTACAGCAAAACTAGCCTGTGCCCTCTTGCTCCCCCCAGCTCCTACTTCGTCCGTCCCGTGGGTCAAGTGAAGAAAGGTATTACATCCCCTACGGGGTTCTTTTCCAAGATGAACATCCCCATTTCTTTCAATCCTTCCTTTTTAAAGGATCCTCGCATCTCGGTCACGCTCCTCAGGCCAAACTCGTTTGACAACGTCTTTCTGCTCCAGAACTGGTCTTTTTAACTGGGCAAGTTAAGAGGCATCAGAGAAGTGGAAGCCAATTCCCAGGGGGCGAGGAAACGCCGACGTGGGAGTGTTGTGGTGCGCTGTGGTGAACACAGGCAGGCTTCCTGGAAGAGGTGATCCCTGAGCTCAAGTCCAGAGCAGTAAGCAGCGGCCAGCGGCTGAGGGCCGCTAGGTCGAGACAAAGGGTGGCGGACTTTAGGAAGATCAGGGACACAAGCCCAAATGGTGATGTGCTTGCACGCGGCGGAGCGCAAGGCGTTTTCCTAAAAGGAAGTTAGAATAGGCACTGGAGGGAAGCACAGTGGGAGGAACACTCAAGAAGTAAAACGCGAACTTACCCGTAATCTGGCTACCCGGCCTCCGTAGCCCGACTGCAAACGCCGCCACCTGAAGAGTCCAGTAGCCAAAGCAGCGGCAGGCTCATCCCAGATGTCGCGAGACTGAGCTGGCCTCGCGAGATCTGGCCGTTCGTCGTGACGTCTGGAGCTCTCTCCGGGGGCTATGGGAGGGCTCTGGCGTCCCGTATTAAGGACCGCTGCTGTCTGTGGCTGGCGTTGGAGTCACCCTGGGTCCCCGACCTGGGTTGCGGAGAGGGTACAGCCGTATCTCAGGGTGGGAAGAAATGGGACAGGAAGTGATGAGACAGGGCTGAGGTGGATTGGGACATGGAGGCGTCCGAACCCGGCCCGGGACCTGGCCCTGCAGCCGCCGCGGCGGCCGAAGAGCACGAACCCTTTCACGCGCGCGCAGGAGGAGGATTGGCGGCGTCGGAACAAGACGGTCCTCACGTACGTGGCCGCAGCCGCAGTGGGCATGCTGGGGGCGTCCTACGCCGCCGTGCCCCTTTATCGGCTGTATTGTCAGGTAGGCGCCAGTGCTGCACCCTGGGCTGTGCCATCTGGAGGGGCGGAGGTGCAGGACAGCTTCCTGGACAGCGATCGCTCCTCCGTGTCGTGTTGGAGGGATGTCTGAGGTTGCTCCACCAGAGAGGAAACAGGCTTTGAAAAGTGACTTGCCCAAGCTTACCAAAAAAAGTTAGTGGCAAAGTTACGGATAGAACCCACGCCCCTATAGTGATCGTGCTTATACCGACCACACTGCAGAGTGAAGTTTCCTATCTCTGAGCTACATCACCTAAAAGGTCCGCAGCCTATATACTCTGCCGTCCGGCAACCTGCCTTACCCTCTTGCTACTCACACAGATGTTCGCGTTTAAAATGTAAATTACGTTAGTACAGTCATTCTGTGAACCGTGTATGGTTTACCTGCGAAGGTTAACCCAGAAATGGGAGTATGCTTGTAACTTGGGCTTAAACTGGGAGTAGCGTTTAATTCATACAAAGAGGCATGAGGCTTCCCTCCACTGTTAATATATGACTGTAATGTGCTTACCCAGGGCTCTCTTTTAGATCAGAAACCCTAATGCAGTTGTTCTTCAAGTGTGTTTCCCCGGACGACCAGCGTCCCATCACCTGGGAACTTGGGTGCACATTCTTGGATCAAACTGCAGAGCTACTGAATCAAACTCTGGGGGAGGGGCCCAGCTATCTGTGTTTTAGTAAGTCCCCTAGCTGATTTTGATGCAGACTAATATTTGAGGACCATGTGCGAAGCCACACTTTTATTTATTTCGTATATATTCATATATATTCGTATATATTCTCCTTAAGTAGTTTGCTGCTTTGGCTGGTCATTAGGACTCCTAGTGGAGCTACTTTAATGAACATGTTAGGGCTCCCTTACCTAGAAATACTGATTAGGAGGTCTGGGTGTGGCCCAGGAATTTCTGTTTAAAAAACATAACACAGGTTAGAGCTACACATTATTCATTAAATGATAGTGATTCTCCAACTTTGTTGTGAGTGGGAATCATCTGAAGAGCTTTTAAAAAATCCTGACACTCAGGTCACATCCGGAACCACTTAAATCAGAATGTCTCAGAGTGGGAGTCAGGTATTAGTAATGTTTTAAAAATTCCTGGGTGATCCCAATGTGTACTATTTTGGGAATCATTGGCTAACTGCTTTTTCCTGCCAGGATTGTTAATGTCGGTCTTACTTTCCCTGTCCTTTTGGAGATTAACTTGACCTTATTTTTTATAACTAAAGCAAGTCAAAAGGACTTTTCAGTCTCCTAATATTGGCATTTATGTGGGTATGCAGTAGATTGATTCAAGAGGATGAGTGTAGAATGTGAATTAGTTTTCATCGGACGGCAGCCTGGACCTAGCATGAATCCCAGAACTAGCAGTTGGTTAAATCATAAGCAGAACTGAATCCAAAATATCAAGTATAAATCTCTGAAAATCATGGGGGTAGAAGGGGTCAGTTTTATTCTTCAGGGAATATTTAGCAGTGTGTGAATACATTTTTGGTTGTCACAACCTGGGAGGTGAACAGGAAGGGTGCCACTGGTATCTAGTGGGTAGAGTCTAGGGATGCTGATTGGTAAACATTCAGCATTGCACAGCACAGACACTCGCTCCTCCCCAAACCAAAGAATTATCCAAACCAAAATGCCCTTAGTTCCAAAGTTGTGAAACTCTGCTTTAAACTGAAGTGAATGACAGTATTTTTGCATGTGTGTGTGCAAATGCAGAGCAGGATAGGCAAAACAATTGTAATTTATAATCCTAAACTTCAGTCAAGTTTGATGTTAAGTTTCCAGAAGAGCATCTCTTTCGCTTTTGGAATCACAGAACTTTAGAGCCAAAAATAAAGAATTATATAAACAATTTAATACAGAGACCTCATTTTATGAGTATGGATAGTCCCCCAAAAGTAAAATGTATTTAATTCTTGGAGCTAGTTAATGGCAGAACTAGACTAGAGCCCAGGAAATATTTTCATTGCCCTTCTCTATTCTTATTTCTCTAATTATCAAGCTTGCAAATTTGAAGGATCTGTATTCAGAGACTTCCTGTCACAATATATTAAGGAATCTTTATTCAACTGATTCAGATTCTTCAGGAGTTACATCTTAAAACTTAAGCATTATAGCCCTCTCGGGCAGAAGAATTTACTTCCTAAAAAAAAGATAAAAGGCTTGCCCTCTAATACATCTTGTAGGTTCATAATGTACTTCAGTAATGTTGCATGGCAGCTGAGTACAGTTAGGTGACTTGTGTAATAAGTGGAAGATAGTAATACTGTATTTTGCTGGGAGTCTTCCCCTAGCCTCAAATTTGATATTTTTTTCCTAGTATAGTAACAGATTAATTATCCGAAGACCAGAATTCTGGCAACCTCACGCATCAGAAGAATGATGACCCTGGAAGTAAGGATTTTTATTTTTAAACATCTGTGATGATAAGGAGATAATGGCAATGAAGATAGGCAAGAAGAGTCAGGCACAAATATTCCTGATGTCTTAAGGTTTGTTGATTCAGCGGCGAAAGGGATCAGGTTCTCTGATTAACTGATGATGTTTATAAAAGCTGTACTATACAAAGAAGTACAGGAAAAAATTACAGAAACATTTATTAACGTGGCAGAACACTTGTGATGCTTGAAAAAAGCAGAATACAAAAGTGAAGCTACAAACTAATCTATGCCATAAAAGTGATGATATGGAAAGGGATCAGAGGGGGCTGTGGGTAATTTAATTATTTAAATAGTTTCATTGAAATGATAGGGTCATGGGTAATTTTTACTTCTAATGACTAATAGTTTATATAAAACACTGGCAATAAAAGGAAATAGGTTTTATGAAAAGTTAAGCTAAAATTCTGAGCTATATTACCATTGGTGAGTCAGCTTTCTCCCATATGAGTCATTTTTTTTTTTTTTTTTTTTACTGTGTCCAATACCCAAGTGATTACCGAAAAAAAATATGACTCTAACAAATACAGGCCCTTGACACCCCAGAGGTGGTCAAACCATTGATACATTCATAGGAAATGGGCAGTGACAGTATGAACTGGGATCCTACTAGATTATTAAATTGTTTTTAAGATTTTGTTTTTATCCCATAATCACCTGTAAGTATTGTTTAACATGTTCTACTTTAATATACTTAATATCTTTAATACCTAGACTACTGGTCTTGGAGGGTCAGCAGTAGCAGGTCATGTGTCGGACCAGATTGAAAACATGGTGCCTGTGAAGGATCGAATTATCAAAGTCACCTTTAATGCAGATGTGCATGCAAGCCTCCAGTGGAATTTTAGACCTCAGCAAACAGAAATCTATGTAAGTGATTAAAGTAGTTATGAAAAGATTACTTTTTTCATTGTAAAAATTATTTTATTGCATCACTGAAACTTTCACAATTTAGAGAACACTCATGTAAACATAATCTCAAAAAACTGATACTCCATTACTGTAATTCTTTTATTCTCACAGACTACTTTTTGACAGGGCCCTATCTCAATGTAACAGAATATACTTTAAGTTAAATGATACTGCAGTAAATGTCAGTTTGGAACAATGGAGAAGGTCCTCAGTTTTTATCAGAGTCGTATTAAGAATTCACTAAGAAATTTGTGGACAGTAATCCTGAGAGTAGGAGCAGCGGTGCTGCCGTGTGTAGCATAGCCTCAGGTATAGATAAGGGGAAAAAAAGGAAAATCATTGGTTACAATGAAAAGTAGTTTACTCATTTTTAAAAAATATTTATTTATTGTGAGGAGAGTGCACACGGAAGAGGGGCAGAGAGGGATGGAGAGGGAGAATCCCAAGCAGGCTGTGCACTGATAGTGCAGAGCCCTAGTGGGGCTGGATCCCAGGTGCACCGAGAAGGGATACTTTTGATATAAATTAAACTACTGCAGCCTCTGGGTGGCTCAGTTGGTGAAGTATCTGACTCTTGATTTCAGCTCATCACCCCACGGTTTATGGGATCAAGCCCTGCCTTAGAATCCGTCCTGAGTGTGGAGCCCACTTAGGATTCTCTCCCCCTCTCCCTCTCCCCCCCTCCCTCTCTCAGCCTCTCCCTACCCCTCTTCCTGCCTCACAAGCATTCTGCCTCTCAAAAAAAAAAAAAAAAGGATCCCCATCTCAGGGCTCTTGGCTGGCTCAGTGGGAAGAACATGTGACTCTTGATCTTGGGGTTATGAGTTCAAGCCCCATGTTGGATGTAGAGATTACTTAAAAATAAATTTTAAAAATGTGTGTGTTTGTGTGTATCCTTATTTCTTAAAAAAAATGAGAACCTTTGAAGTAACCATAATAAATAGTCATGTTCTACTTCAGAAAAGCTCTACTTTAAAAGTTTCCTAAAATCTTGACTAACTGGAATCCTGGAGGATTTAATTGAAATTATCTCATGAGCTGAGGAATAGCCAGAAAAGCTTAATTGTGACTCTTATTGGGAAACCCTTATAAATATTGGTGTTCCCGCATGTTAGTAAACATGACTGAATTCTTCAATGATTAAGGGTTTCATAGGTTATGATTTTGAATGTTCTAATTATATACTAGTTGTGCAAGATATTAGTGTCTGAAATGGTACAAAGGACAGAGAATCCTTTGGAAATTGATTTTTTTAAAGCCTTGCAATTTTTTCCAAATGTTTTTTTTCTTTTTCATGTTATTTATTTTTGATAGAGAGCACAAGGGGGGAGGGTCAGAGAGAGAGGGAGACACAGAACCCAAAGCAGGCTCCAGGCTCTGAGCTGTCAGCATCTGCAGAGCCCAATGCAGGGATCGAACTCACAAACCGCGAGATCATGGCCTAAGCCGAAGTCGGACGCTTAACTGACTGAGCCACCCAGGCACCCCCCAAATATTTTTGAGAGAGAGGGAGTGCATGTGAGCAGAAAGTGAGGGGCAGAAAGGGAGAAGGCCAGAGTTTCCGAAGTGGGCTGTGCACTGACAGCAGAGAGCCCAATGCAAGGTTCAGACTCATGAAACGCGAGATCATGACCTGAGGCGAAGTCTGATGCTTAATCAACTGAGCCACCCAGGGCCCCTACAGCCTTGCAATTTTAAAAAAATCTGTTCTCTCAAAAAGTGTATTAGTGCTTTTTGGTTAAATAAAAATTCTATTCAGTCAGTTTTACTCTGGTCAGAAGTTCAATTTACTCTGGTTGTAAGCTGAGTTTAATGTTAACCTCTTAAAAAGAATCTATATTGGTCATATAATTATGTTCAGGTATAAGTGTTAAGTCAGGCTTGGGCTATGATAGGCTTGGCTTTCCTTGGACATTTTTTTGTATTTATTTTTTAATGTTTATTTTTGAGACAGAGAGAGACAGAGCATGAATGGGGGAGGGTCAGAGAGAGAGGGAGACACAGAATCTGAAACAGGCTCCAGGCTCCGAGCGGTCAGCACAGAGCCCGACGTGGGGCTCGAACTCACGGACCGTGAGATCGTGACCTGAGCCGAAATCGGACGCTTAACCGACTGAGCCACCCAGGTGCCCCTCGGACATTTTAATTTGCAGATCATTGCTTGAAGACTTCAGATATATAAGAGGACGGTACACAATTAATGATTAATAGAGCACTAGTTCTTCATGGACATAGGCAAATAAAATTTAAAAACCAGATGTTGGGGTGCCTGGGTGGCTCAGTCAGTTGAGCGTCTGACTTCGGCTCAGGTCATGATCTCACAGGTTGTGAATTCCAGCCCCATGTCAGGCTCTGTGCTGACAGATCAGAGCCTGGAGCCTCCTTCGGATTCTGTGTCTCCCTCTCTATCTGTCCCTCCCCCACTTGTGCTCTCTCTCTCTCTCTCTCTCTCAAAAATAAGTAAAATGTAAAAAAATAAAATAAAAAAATAAAAAAAAAACCCATGTTCATGGGTAGTATCCACAATTTATTTTGCTGACCTTCGACATTATTAGATAAAATATTGTGGTCTGACGAATAGGAAAAATATGACTAATAGGGAAAGGAGGAGCTGTGAGATTTAAAGTATTGATAATGTATATTTTTCTTAAAACAGGTAGTGCCAGGAGAGACTGCACTGGCGTTTTATAAAGCTAAGAATCCTACAGACAAACCAGTAATTGGAATTTCTACATACAATGTTGTACCATTTGAAGCTGGACAGTATTTCAATAAAATACAGGTATAGCTATATGAAAACTTTTATGTATTTTCATCATATTCCATAAACTGGTTAGTACTAAACTTACTGCAGTGTTGTGTAGAAACTAATCATTTCTTCTAAACATTGAACTTTTTTCCCATTGCTTATAATAACTATGGTTCGTTGTTGAGACGATGAACCAAATGGGAATCTGCTTTTAACTTTAAAACAATTTTTGGTCTTAATTTTAAAGCAAAAGTCAATGAGATGAAAAGAGAATGTCATTCTGTCACAGAACTTAGTTTATATTTAATTGTATTTTTTATTATAATATTAATTGCAGTATGCTCACTACAGCCAAGAAATGAACCATTATTATTTGTATTCTAACAGAAACTAAACAAATACCCTTTATAATTTCTAGTGCTTCTGTTTTGAAGAACAAAGGCTTAATCCACAAGAGGAAGTAGATATGCCAGTGTTTTTCTACATCGATCCTGAATTTGCTGAAGATCCAAGAATGGTGAATGTTGATCTCATCACTCTTTCTTATACTTTTTTTGAAGCAAAGGAGGGACAGAAGTTGCCGCTTCCAGGCTATAATTGAAGTCAGCATCTTAAGTCCTGCTTCAGATTTGTGATTTTTGAAAAATCATGTATTTAGTCTTCTCAGGGGAGAAATACTTTACAGTAATGTAAAGCTATTTTAAATATTATATAATGCTGTGTTTATTTTTTCAACTAATTTACCCTGCTTAAAATTGAATGAACAGTTTCAGCTGTCAGTCCTAAGGAATCCACAGGCCCATTTAGAATGTAGGACTATTCAAAACCAGAGAGTTTGATAGGTAATATTAAAAGAAACGCTTTGTTTCTTAAATAAGTAGGCACGGACTTCATGGTTCAGTTTATTAACCCTTCATACTTGTAGCACTGAGTACTTTTATTATTCCCACAGTTGTTTTAGGCTCCAGGCCATAACTTCTGCCTATTTTTGTTATTTCTAAAATAGTTGGTTACTACTTTCTTTTCTTGTGAACCATCCTATTTTAAAAGCTCACAATGGAAGAGGAATCACTGAGTCCTAACAGCCTGCCCAGAGATTACATTCTGATTTCAGATTTGACTCTCTTTTTCCTTTAGGATCTAGGCCTATTTTATATTCTGAGTACTGACTAATTATTTTGAAATTTCAGCATCATGAAAATGAAAGAAAATGCATAAATACGTTTACTAGGATTCTAGTATTTCCTGTGATAGTTCAAGTCCTTGAATGTTAAAATGTAAGTGTGGGGTTGTGAATAAGTGTGAACTTACTGACATCAGAAGTTCTATGAACAGACGTGTAAAAAAGATGTATTAAATTGTTTTAATGGTAATTTTTTTATCATTGTAATTTATGACATAAACGTACAATATATTCTGAATGTTTTCAGTAGCGTTTGTTTCAAATAGAAATATTAATTGCAGTAAAAAGGGGAGAAAAAGATCATTTAGTATTATAAAGAACCATATTTAAAGGCAACTTGATACAGAGTCCAGTGACCTCTTCACAGTACCTGAAATATAAACTACAATCATCAAGGCTTTTACAAGTCCTAATTCTAAACAAGTATTCTTTATTAAAAAAAAAAAAAAAGTAAAAATTGACTTTTACATTCAACTTTAAATGAAGGCACTCAATAGTTTACATAATTATTTTGTAATAAAATAATCTTCATCTACTCTTATCACAGCAGTGTGAGGATTTCTTTTCTAAATGTAGGAAGGCCTGTGAAGCCTAAGATGTTATAATTAAACCCGCTGGCCTAGGTACAGTGAATTTTTCTTCTGAAGTTTCAAGTGAATATACGTTATAACCAAGTTGTTTCAAAATAAAGCTTAAGCTGTGGTCAGGAAATATAAATGTTACTCTGGAACTGTTACTCTTCTGTTACTGCAGAGGAGAACTGTTCCACCATGGTTCTGATGTGCTGGTAGGTCTGGTCTTCTGGGCCTCCAAGCTGCATAGGAGAGGTGACACCTCTAAATGCAGTTAGTGAGCTGGTCACCCACTTCCACCTAGTGTAAGAAGAAGACAGCCGGCCTTCAGCCTTTCCTTCTCTTTCTCCATTCCTGGATAACGAGAGACTCACAACCTAATGCAGAAACATGGGAATGTATTACTTCCATGGAGGAGGGTGTGAGGGGAATAAACAAGGTTAATGGGCTACTGGTGGCCACACATTCATTAGTAAATAAAATGGTATGATTAATACAGCATATAGGAGGAATCCAGGCCTCCCTGGATGAGCAATGAGTGGGTTCTACCACTCCTTAACTGTACATAAAAGATACATGTCTATTTCAGTGCTAAGAAGTTTCTGTTGATCATTATTTTTGTTAGCATTAATATTTCTATACCATAAACCAACTTCTACATTCTAAAGATTATTTTTAGCTAATAAGATTACAAAGATATTTCATTCCAATTTGAGTGACTGAGATGAGCTTTTGTACTAAGATTTATACTCAAAGTGTCAGACTCAGATGGCCTTTACAAAATGTGAATACTAAACACACAAAGTGGCAGTTACACAGGAAGTCTGTAGAGTGGGCAATAGAAGTTGTGTCATTGAAGTCTACCTCAACAGTCACTGTGACTTTGGGCTCCTTTCTGGTGATGAACATCAATTTCTTCATAAACAGCTCTGAAACAAACAAGCCATCGTGGCAAAAAGGTTATATATCAAAGTACTACTTTGGCTTTAACTGCCAACACCTTAACTAAAAATCTGGTGCTGTTTTAGGTACTCAGTGTGTATCAGTGAATAAAAACAGATCTCTGTCCTGAAGCTTACATAATAGCTTTCTTAGAGCCTAATGCTGTAATTCCCTTGCATCTTATAAATATGTATTTCATATAACCAATTCATTTTACTTGTGACTTAATGAAAAATGTGGCTCAAACTTGAACAGTTTCCTTTCTGCCTATAAAAAAAAATTGTATAGTTTTTCCAGGTTTTAAAACATATAAAAATATTAGTATTTCCACCTATGTTATTATAGTCCAAACACCTGGGCCACTTTTTTAATGTTTATTTATTTTTGAGAGAGTGAGAGAGACAGAGCATGACTGGGAAAGGGGCAAAGAGAGAGGGAGACGGAATCCAAAGCAGGCTTCAGGCTCTGAGCTGTCAGCACAGAGCCTGACACACAGGGGTTGAACCTGCAAACCAAAGGATCATGACCTGAGCCCGAAGTCAAACGCTTAACCGACTGAGCCACCCAATCTCACATTTAATATCTGTTGCACTGTCATATCTACTGACAACAATTTCCTAATTAACTAGAATATATTAAACTTAACTTCCTGTTTGGATGCAATTTCTAATTCTTTAAGCTACTAATACATTCAGTGATACTTTATCAAGCAGAATGACCTAGGGAAATTTTGCAACCCTACATTAGGAAAAAAATTCTTAATGAACTCCTAAGTCTGTTAAAATTCATAAATTATACTAAAATGGATCACTACATTTGTGGTTTAAAACCAGGGGTCAGGTTCTGTGCAGACAAGCTCAGAGCCTGGAGCCTACTTCAGATTCTGTGTGTGTGTGTGTGTGTGTGTGTGTGTGTGTGTGTCTGCGTCTCCACTGCTAGCGCTCTCTCTCAAAACTAAAAACAAAAATTTTTTAAAATAAAGCCAGGGGTCAAAACCTCAAATGTTTACACATGCCAGACAGATCAAATAAATGGGCATAGAGGGCCATTTGGGGCCTGGTGAACTACACAGCATACCTTGTCTTGAGGAGGCAGCTACTATTCAGCCCCAACCTATTGCTAGCATTTATTTTTTTCAACGTTTTTTTTTTTTTTTTTATTTGTTTTGGGACAGAGAGAGAGAGAGCATGAACGGGGGAGGGGCAGAGAGAGAGGGAGACACAGAATCGAAACAGGCTCCAGGCTCTGAGCCATCAGCCCAGAGCCTGACGCGGGGCTCGAACTCACGGACCGCGAGATCGTGACCTGGCTGAAGTCGAACGCTTAACCTACTGTGCCACCCAGGCGCCCCCCTGTTGCTAGCATTTAAAAATACTGGCGTTGCCATAGCATCAAAAGAATCCAAAGTCCAGAATTGTGTTTTTTGTTTTTTTTTCTTTTTAACAATATCCCAGTTTTTAACTTTTGGCAATTAATTTTTAAATGCATGGTTTTAATTCCACATGGGTCAAACAAAACACAGCTGTAAACAAGATATTGCCTAAAGGCTGCCTGTTTCTGAACAACAGTTTCCATAAACTTGCTTTAATAATTTTGGGGGTAAACTGTCAGTCAAAGTATATTAAAGTTCTAACGAGCCTACCATCACATAAATATATATACTCCACCAATATGAAATCATGAAATAATGGTACTCCAAGGATTTCAACTTAAAAAGACTACACTAATCCATTTTAAGCACATTGTTGACATATAGTGAAGACTAAAAACAAGTTCTTATTTGTGATTAGTCAAAGAACAGTTCAAATAATCCATCAATGAGGTGTTACTTATGTCACCAATCAGTGAATATAGTGTCTTTTTCAAACTAGAGAGAACCTTTCTCCCAAGGCATCTGCAAGGAATCCACTAATGTACTTGATGGTTCCAGTTATTTCTTAATGTGCAGCCCCAGCATTTTTATTTTTTAGTCACAAGGCTGACCACAGTAAGACCATTAAGAGCAACAGTCTCCAAGGGCACCTGGGGGGCTCAGTCAGTCAAGCGTCTGACTTCGGCTCAGGTCATGATCTCATGGCTCATGAGTTCAGGCCCTGCACTGGGCTCTGTGCTGACAGCTCGGAGCCTGGAGCCTGCTTCGGATTCTGTGTCTCCTTCTCTCTCTGCCCTCCCCTGCTCACACTCCTTCTCTCTCTCTAAATAAATAAATTAATTAATTTAAAAAAAAAGAGCAACAGTCCCCATAAAATCTCATAAGTCATTTTTAATAAGATCATTATTTTCTGCCAAGACCTAAACAAAGTTAAATATACAACCAAGCCCCGTTTAGCTCTGTTACTGAAGGGAACCAAGACAAAAAATAAATTAATCATTTTGTAAATGACTTACTCTGTAGTGACAACAGGAGCCAAGGGATCAAACTCCATTACCTCGTAGTAATTGGGTGGTTGGAGATCATTCTCTGCCATTGCTTCAGGCAAAACAAAACAAAAAGCCCACCAGTAAACACACATTGTGCTTTTCAAGAACACATACACAATTAATAATCTCTTTATGATTGCGACTTCAAACATGAGACCCTACGAAACACTGACAGCCAGAAACAAATACAACTGGTGTTCTAATGCTACTCCCAAGTACAACAAATCTATAGAGAACAAAAGGATTTGCAAACTTCCACTAAAGACTCCTTTCCCTCAGCATTTCAAATACAACATTCAGCACAACGGAAGCATTTTTTATAATCGAATGTCGGTCATAATGATATGAGCCATGAATTTACTTCATGGAGCTTAAAGAAGCACACTGAAGTCCTAGTGTTTCCTCTCTCTCTATTTTCAATCAGCAGTAAATCTCCGGCAGACTCCTATACTCTTACAAGATCCCTTATTCAATGCAAATAACAGGTCTCAAGTACCTGGGTGACTGATGGGCAAGGATGGCAGTCTCTGGCTTGATGGTGTTGCTGGAACGTTCTGCACATTAACTGGCTGTAGTAGTACTGAATTTGAATATTCTGGAAACTGAAGAAAACACAGTACATGTTCAAATAAACATTCTACATTAAGTTTTTTTTTTTTATTATTTACATTACCAGGCTTCTAAGTGGCACTATTCCAACTACCATATCCTCCCAACTGGACAAGAATTAGAAATTATGAACTATTACTTTTTTAGGTTAATAACCATTTATAACACTTATTACTTTTCTCTCTGGTTTCATGCCCACTGCACCTCATTTCCCATATAAAATGTAAAATTAACATTTTGCTTTAAAAAAAAAAAAAGAATTGTATGGCTCAGTCTAGGGTCTGTTGTTTCACACTAAAAAATCTCAGCCTCAAACAGGAAAATAAATCTTTACCCTACAGAAAGGCATAAGATAACAGCACCAAATCAGTACTGATAAAGATTAATCTCCTAATCTTCCTCATTCATTTCATGAATAAATCTTGGGCACCTACTAGGTGCTATAAATAAAACAGGCCAAATCCCTGCCCCCTTGAAGCAAACAAATGTAAAGAGATGTTAGATAGCAAGTGCTCTTAAAAAACAAACAAAAAAGGCTCAGGTAGATGGGGTAGGCTATTGCTCTGACAGTAATGGTCAAGGAATGCCTCACCATTGGGAACATTTAAGCAGAGTCCTGACTGATGTGGGTGCTGTGACTGATTATCTGAGGGGGCCCAAGGTCACATCCTCTGAAGCAGAGAAGGCCAGTGCCATTGGAGCAGAGTGAGCCAAGGAAGAGAGGTGAAGTCGAAGAGGTAATGGAAGGTGTGAGATCAGCATTTCAGGTTTTTACAGAGCGAAATGGAGGAAGGAAATCCTAGGTGGGTTTAGAGCAGTTAATATGACTACTTTTTTTTTTTTTAAGGATAGTTCTGGTTTGTTTTGAAAAGAGATTGCACAGTGGGGGTGAGGGTGGAGAGGGAGGTGAAGGCTAAAGCAAGGTAACCTTGGGGCGCCTGGGTGGCGCAGTCGGTTAAGCGTCCGACTTCAGCCAGGTCACGATCTCGCGGTCCGTGAGTTCGAGCCCCGCGTCGGGCTCTGGGCTGATGGCTCAGAGCCTGGAGCCTGTTTCTGATTCTGTGTCTCCCTCTCTCTCTGCCCCTCCCCCGTTCATGCTCTGTCTCTCTCTGTCCCAAAAAAATAAATGTTAAAAAAAAAAAAAAATTTAAAGCAAGGTAACCTTAGGAGGCCACTGCAATATCCCTCTGATGGCTTGGACTGCAATGCAGAAGTGGAGGCCATGAGAAGCAGCTAGATAATGGATACACTGTTCGAAGAGAAACGGTAAAAAGGCAGAGAGCAAGCACTGGTCTCCAAGGTTTTGACTTGAGCAACTGCAATAGTGGAGGGTTCCTTTACTGAGGTGGGGAAGAGTACAGGAGGTGCAGGTGGAGAGCCAGGACTAGGAAGAAAGCAAGAAGAGTTTCCTCGGAAAGTTGAGTTCTGAGTTTAAGGGAGATCATGGGCTGCAGATACCAATTACAAGTTGTCAGAATCTGAATGGTATTTTAAGATAAGAGACCAGAAGACCATGGAAGAATGAAAGCAGAAGTCTGAAACTTAAGCCCTGGGATCTCCAAGACTCAAAGGCCAGTAGAAGAGTGGGGACCAGTAAAGGAGACATAGTGGAAAGGAGGCAAGAGAAGAAAAAAATGAGTGGTGTCTGAAAGCCACATGTGCAAAACAGGAGGAAGTGACTGACTGTCACCTGCTGCTGATAAAGCAGGTAAGACGAGGACTGAAAATTGCAGTACTTGATTTGGTAACGTAGAGATCACGGGAGACCTTGACAAGAGGTGTGCCAGCAGAGTGGTAGGAATGAGACAGCCTGTCTGAAGTCTATCAAAGAGGATGGAAGGAAAGGAGGAGACAGCTAATATAAACAAACACTAAAGGAATTTTGATCCTTAACCATTTTTCTAACAGAAGTAAGATTCAACTTGTCCATCTTGAAAGATTAAAAAGAAGACAAAGAGAAGTCCTAACAAGGGCTGTCAACACGTTATAGGACATATACCAAAACGCTGAACAGAACATGAGATTTAATGACCAGGAATTCCTTCTTAGCCATGACAACCTGCTGACTAGGTGTGCTGCCCAGGAAGTTTCATTACTTACGCTCTCATATGTATGGTTTGCGGTGATGTTTTGGCCGGTCCTTTGGGCAAACCTAGGAGAGTATGATAAGACAGTATGATTACCCTACAGCGAGAACACAAATGCAAAAAGTAAGATGACTTCCTACAAACAAAACCTAAAATGTACTTTCAGACTGCAACGGAATATTAATCTTATGTAACAATTGCCATCTGGTTTTCATGCTTACCAGCTTTTGATGTCCAAACACCAAGGAGTAAAGACAAAGAAGGTGTCCCTTGGCAGTGGCAGCCCTGAGACCCTGAAGTATACATGGTATACTAGTGAGAACAAGCCTTTAACCTTTCCATCAGAGTAGCTACCATCCATCATTTCCTGAAGGATGAGACACAATACGGAGTAGAGGTTAGGAAGGAAGGTGGGGAGGGTCCTGGTTCTAATCTATACCAAATACACTTTGCCCTATCTCTCCTACCAAAGCCAACTCTAAAACCAGAACAGAATGCATGGGGCAAATATTTGAGGACTGAAAAGTCAATAGTTACAGGATGACTGGGAAGGACTGGAATTTGAGTATCCACAGATCATTAGTACCTTTCTTCCCCCACCTCTGGTGTTCCAGAACCTGAATGCAATGAAGCCTAAAACCCCAGAGTGGGCAGTAAGGACAGACAGCTCTAGGAGAAGCCCTTCTGTTTTCACTCAAGGAGCAGAAAAGAGAAGTCCTAATGCTCAGAGATAGTGTGGAAATTCCTTACTCTTTTTTTTCCTTTCCTTTCTGTTCTCTCCCTCTCTAAAGCTGAGGCAATCCCAAAATGGCTGGAGTGACAGCAGAAGCCAACGGGGACCTGTAGAGGCTTAAAAATTTGAGAGGACCCTTCCTTCCAACAGGTGTAACTGTGATGCCAGAGGGCAGGGCAAACTCTGTTTTGTTGTTTTCATTCTTTCTGTCCCACCATTTGGGTTTAGACACAAGCATAATCAAGGAAATAAACGACATATAGTAGGTTAACTGAAGCTTTCTGACTGGAGAACCGAAAGGGCAAATCCTAGAAAAGCAGAGTGCTAGAGAAATCACAAAGAGGAAGGAATGTGGAGAATCAACCTTAAAGTTGTTTATGAAATCCTGGGCTCACTTCCTGATCTGTGTCTCTGTGGATCTGATCCCAGTCAGGATGCAAAAGATGTTGAGAAATGAATATACACCCATCCAGGCCTCAGGGTGGCCCACATGAAGCAGATCTGAAAAGCACTGCAAAGTCTTTGAAAACATAACTATGTTAGAACGACAGCACAAAAAAAGGCAGGTTGAAACTGCAGCATGCATCTAGTGACGTTGTTTGCCTTCTAAAATCAAAATAGCACCATCTTCAACAGGATTCAAATAAGAGCAAGTGTCTTAGGGTGCCTGGGTGGCTCATTCAGTTGAGCATCCAACTTCAACTCAGGTCATGATCTCACAGTTTGTCAGTTCAAGCCCCACGTCGGGCTCTGTGCTGACAGCTCAGAGCCTGGAGCCTGCTTCAGATTCTGTGTCTCCCTCTCTCTGCCCCTCCCATACTCATGCTCTGCCTCTCTGTCTCTCTGTCTCAAAAATAAACACTAAAATCCTATGATCTGAAATAAATAAATACATAAATAAATAAATAGCGAGCAAGTGTCTCATAACATTAAAAACGCCCAAGATACAATCCAAAATTACTAGGCATGTGAAGAACTGGGAAAATTTCAACAGGCAAAAAATAAAAAAGGCCATCGACAAACGCTAATATCAAGAGGATAGAGACGTTAAAACTACCTCAGATTTTAAAGCAGCCATTATACAAATGCTCCAATAAGCAACTGTGAACACTCATGAAAAAAACTGGAAAAATAGAAAGTCATTTCAAAGAAAAATAAGACCTAAAGAAGAGTCAAATAGTAATTTTAGAATTGGAAAATACAGTAACTGAAATTCTAAAAAAATTTACAGAATGAGCTCCGTAGTAAAATGGGGATGAGAGAGGAAATAAGTAGCAAACTTGAACATAAATCAATAGAAATGATCCCATCTTAAAAACACAAACAAAAAGCAACAACAACAAAACAGAGAAAAAAGTGAAAAAACTAATGAACAGAACTCTGGAGATTTACAAGACAATATCAGATCTAACATCTGTGTCATCAAAAGTCCCAGAAGGACAATAGAAAGTGTACTGTTGAAATATCTGAAGAACTGTAAGGCTGAAAGCTTCACAAATTTGGTGAAAGACAGAAACCCACAGATTCAAGAAATGCAGTGTAGTGGACTGAATGGTGCCCTCCACCCTCAAAAGGTATGTCCTTGTCCTAATTCCTGGAACCTGTCAATGTTACTTTATTTGAAAAAAAGGGTCTTTTTAAAAAATTAAGTTTTTATTTATTTTTGAGAGAGAGAGAGAGAGTGAGTGAGTTGTGGAGGAGCAGAGAGGGAGAGAGAATCCCAAGTAGGCTCTGCACTTTCAGCACGGAGCTTGATGTGGGGCTCAAACCCATGAACTGTGAGATCATGACCTGAGCTGAAACCAAGAGTTGGATGCTTGGGGTGCCTGGGTGGCACAGTCGGTTGGGCATCCGACTTCAGCTCAGGTCATGATCTCAGGGCTGGTGAGTTCCAGCTCCATGTCGGGCTCTGTGCTGACAGCTCAGAGCCTGGAGCCTACTTTGCATTCTGTGTCTCTCTCTCTCTGAGCCCCTCCCCCACTCATACTGTCTCTCTCTCTCTCTCTCTCTCTCTCTCTCTCTCTCTCTCAAAAATAAAGATAAAAAAAAAATTAAAAAAAAAAAAAAGAGTTGGATGCTTAATGGAATGAGCCATGCAGGTAGCCCGAAAAAAAAGGTCTTTTCAAATGTATTAAGTTAAGGATCTTGAGATGGTGATATCATCTTATATTACTTGAATGTACCTTAAATTCAAAGACAAGTGACCTTAAAGAGAAAAGCAGAGGCAGAGTTGAAATACACAGAGAAGGCAACATGAAGGTGGAAGCAGAAAGTAGAGTGATGTGAGCCAAGCCAAGGAATCAGAAAAAAAGGCCGACAATCATCAGAATCTGGAAGAGGCAAAGAATTGCTTCTCCCATTAGAACCCTGCAGGGAGTGTGGCCCTGCTGAATTTCAGATTTCTAGCCTCCAGAACTAGGAGAAAATAAATTCCTGTGGTTTTAAACCACCCAGTTTGTGATTCTTTTGATGGCAACCACAAGAACTAATATTCTCAGCAAATCCCAAACGGAATAAACCAAAAGAAATCCATGCCCAGACATATCATAATCAAACTGTTCAAAATCAGGGGAAAAAAATTATTGAAAGCATAGCATAGAGATAACAACACATTACCTACAGGAGAACAATGATGTGAATGGATACAGACTTCTCATTAGAAACCATTTTAGGCCAGAAGAGGTGGTGGGAGTAATGTTTAAAAACTGAAAGAAAAAACCATCAACTCAGATTTCTACATCCATTGAAACATCCCTCAGAACAAAGATGAAATAAAGACATTCTCACATGAAGTAAGACGAGATTTTCACTGCCCATAGACCTGCCCTAAAAGAATCACTAAAGAAAGCTTTTCAGAGAGAAGGGAAATTATATAAGAAAATAAAAGATCAACATAAATGGCGAATATTGGGTAAAAAAAAAAAGACTATTCTTCTTGAATTCCTTAAAATATATTTGAGAGTTGTACACAAAAATTATAACTGCTTGTTGGTATTTTTTCAATGTAGAATATATACAATAACTATAATATAAAGGAAGGTTCTCTAAATTTTCTACGTTTCACTTCAAGTGGTAAAATACTGGTTCTAAGCAGACTAAAATATTATGTACATTGCAGTCCCTAGAACAACCAGTCCCCTCCCTCCTAATATAAACTACACAAAGTTACAGTCAAACTCACAGTAGGTAAGATGGAATACTGAAAACAGTCAAATAATCCAAAAGGTGAAAGAGAAAAGAGAAAAAAAAAAAAACAAAAAAAAAGCAACAAAGGGGAAAAACAGAAAAGAAATAATATAATGCTATACCTAAACCCAAACATAATTACATTAAATATAAGTAGTCTACACATACCAATTAAAGACAGAAATTATGAGAATACATAAAAATGCATGACCCAACTATATGCGATCTATAAGAAACTCACTTCAAATATTTTGATATACTTAAAAGTGAAAAGATGGAAAAGAATATACCACGCCAACACTAATCAAAAGAAAGCTAATGTGGCTGTATGAGTATCAAAGTAGACATCAGGACAAGGAAACTCACAAGGGACAAAAAGGAACTGTGCATAATTCTTTAAGGGTCAATTCACCAAAATGACACAACAATCCTGAATATACATGCACTTAATAACCAAGGTTCAGAATACATGAAGCAAACACCAATTTTACAGAACTTTTTCTAGGAATATTATATACTGTATGATTCTGTTTAGACACCATTCTTGAAAAGGCAAACTATAGTGATGGAGAACAGATTGGTGGTTGCTGGGGGGTGAGTGTGGGAGGGAAGCATTATAAATAAATACCCCAAGGGAGTTTCGGGGGTCATGGAACTATTCTGTACCCTGTGATGGTGATTACATGAATCGGTACATATGTTAACATTCATAGAACTGCACACAAAAGAAAAACAAAGAGGTCAACTTTACCTTATGGAAATTTTAAAAAATTAATTAAAGCACAGAAAGAAAGAAAGCAAGCACTGAAATCAGATCCACTTGAATTTGAATCCTGTTTCTGCACTAGTTGGGCAATGCCTTTGGGCAGGTTAATCTTCCTTAGCCTTCACTTTTGAAGAAATGAGAATGATGGAGTGCCCACCTTCCAGCACTAGTAAGTAATTAGTAAACATTTCTTATTCTTGTTAGCATGTTCCCTGATAGTAAGTGGACTATGAATATGACCTATTACTTTATCCCATAATCACTGTTTCTCCAGATTCCTTTCTGTCATGAATAATTCCATTACTCATTTGTTCTGTGATAATGAATAAACACAGAGGGGTGGAAAATTCTTAAGACCCTAAGACATTTTTGATGGCTGGTTTTGCCTTTCATATGTGATCTAGAATAGGCTTTAACCTAGACATATGCTTTAGGTAACTTTAGTGCTTCAATTCCTGACACTCTTAAAAACCTGGTCTAATTATAGTTTCACTCATGTATAAGCTCTTTTAAAAATCAGAAAACAGATACAAAAGTCTTTGTATAGAAAACAAAATACTGGGGCGCCTGGGTGGCACAGTCGGTTAAGCGTCCGACTTCAGCCAGGTCACGATCTCACATTCCGTGAGTTCGAGCCCCGCGTCGGGCTCTGGGCTGATGGCTCAGAGCCTGGAGCCTGTTTCCGATTCTGTGTCTCCCTCTCTCGCTGCCCCTCCCCCGTTCATGCTCTGTCTCTCTCTGTCCCAAAAATAAATAAAAAACGTTGAGAAAAAAAAATTTAAAAAGAGATTATTTAAAAAAAAAAAAACAAAAAACAAAAAACAAAATACTGATATTACACATTATCTTTTACTCCAGTGAATTCCCAGAACTACAATTATTTTGGTATCTGATACCGGGTGGACATCTGTTATAGGGTTTCTAATGTATAATCAGCAAAGTGCTGCTTTATGATTCTCCTAGGATGCTTTTTTTTAATATTTACTTCTGAGAGCAGGGGGTGGGGGAAAGGGCAGAGAGAGGGGGACTGAGGATCCAAAGCAGGCTCTGTGCTGAGACCAGCGAGTCTGACACAAGGCTTGAACTCATGAACCATGAAATCATGACCTGAGCCATAGTCAGATGCTCAACTGACTAAGCCACACAGGCGCCCCAGCTGGGATGCTTTTTTAAAACTAAAGAGTCTGTCTACTGAGTTAGAATTTCTGGGGACCAGCAATTTTACTTTTTAATAATCCCCCAAGTGATTTTTATGCACACTACAGCATGAGATCCATGATATTACAGATTAAAATAAGCAGCTATGGGGCACCTGAGAGGCTTAGTTGGTTAAGCGTCCGACTTCAGCTCAGGTCATAATCTTGTGGTTTGTGAGTTTGAGCCCCATGTTGTGCTCTGTGTTAACAGCTCACAGCCTGGAACCTGCTTTGGATTCTGTATTTCTCTCTCTGCCCCTCCCCTGCTCACGTGTGCTCTCTTAAAAATAAACAAACATAAAAAATAAAATAAAATAAGCAGCTATGGGGCACCTGGGTGGCTCAGTCAGTTGAGTGTCTGACTCTTGATTTCAGCTCAGGTCATGATCTCACAGTCATGGGATGAAGCCCTGCATTGGGCACTGTGCTGGGTGTGGAGCCTGCTTGGGATTCTGTCTGTCTGTCTGTCTGTCTGTCTGTCTGTCTCTCTCTCTCTCTCTCTTTCTCTCTCTCTCTCTCCCTCTCTCTCTGCCCCTCCCCTATTCATGTTCTCTGTCTCAAAAAATAAATAAAATAAAATAAGCAGCTATTAGCTAGTATTTTATCTTTTTATAAGCTTTATACAGATATTTGTGTAATAGGATTTCATCTATATTTCACTCCTTCCTATTACTCAACATGATTTGCAGGATAAAGGAAAACAGAATCAGTTACTTTAGATCACATTATTTACTAAGCAACTTCCTGGAAATCTGCCTACAGCATTGAAACATTATTTGCATCACACTTAATCAAGACCAGAGGTACTGACCCAACTAATGGCTCATGACATAGCCCCTGGAACTATCATTTCCCAACTCAGGAAGCTTTCCTTGGTCCTCTTCTTCCTCTCCAACTACCCCCCCCCCCCCTTTTTTTTTCCTCTTTCTTCTCAGTTTGATTCTCCTTTCTCATTCCTCTCCCTCCAGTCCCCTGCCCCCCACTCCTTTTTTAATATATAAAAGTAATGCAGTGATTGCTCACACTGGATAAAAACACTAGGCAACTCTAAAAATATATCTAAATCCACTGATATAAAAACATATGTACTTTTATCAAGATATGTCAAGATATCAAGCAAGGTTCAGCAGAGTTTGTACAGTGTGCTGCATTTAATAAAAGAGAAAAAAAATCATATTCATTATTTACCTAAAGTCACTTTGGAAGGACAAATAAAGTGGCTATAGGGTAGCAGCAGAATGTGACATAAGGAGAAGGGGGACAGAAAGGATGGAGGTGGGGTGAGATCAAGTAATGTCCTTGTATATCTTTTCATATCACTTTTTCAGGTATCACTTTGATACCTGAACCATGGAAATGCATCGCCTATTACCTAAAATATATACATTTAAAAGGAAAAAAACAACAGCTTCTGATGTAAATAAAATCTAACTTCTATTTATTTTTTGCTGTATCTACTCTATCTTGCCTCTTCTTAACCTTAAGGGAAACTTGCCTTTTTTAGTTTCTTCTGAATCCTTCTTGTATTTCTTTATGCAAAGAGGCAAATGTTTACATTATTTCTTACTTTCTTACACAAATGCAAGATAGTACACACATTACTTTGCAGTTTTTCACTTTATAATACACTGGTGATTATCCCCTACAAACAGCCTACTTTTGTCCTTCAGCTGCCTGGTAATACATTGTTTAGATATTTAACTAGGCCACAATGATGCATACTTGAGTTGTTTCCAATTATTAGCTGTGTCCAAATGTTGTAAGGAATAATTTTGTAAACAACTGATTTTGCATAAGCGAGTATGAATTCCTAGAAATGAGATATGGTGGGTTCAAACGTGAATGTACTTATAATTTTAAAAGATACTGCCACTTTCCCTCATAAGAACTGCATTAATTTTGTGATAGAATCTGTCTTTCTATAGCCAATAAAGCAGGTTAACAAACATTTAGACTTTTAGCCATCTGAGAGGTTTAAAAAAAGCCATTGTAGTTTAATTTATATTTCTGTAACTGTACATAAGGTTGGGCATCACTGCCTATGTTTATGAGCCATTTGTATATCTTTTTAGTGAACTATCAGTTCATCAGACCTGCTACTGCATAGCTATATGAACTTGGACAGTTTATATTCCTTAAGTCTCAGCCTTTTCTCTTGTAAAATGTGCATAATGGTAACAGCACAGCTCCAAAAATTTTTGCAAAGATTAAATGAATAAACAAACACAGTTTAGCAAAGTGCCCAGCAAGTGGCAAGTGCTCTGTAACTTGTATGGCCATTGTTTGATTTTACTCTCTTGTCATTCAATTTCCCTGTTACCACTGAAAAATAACAATTTATGGAAGGTTTTATGTATCGACTGCTTAATTAGGAGGTACTATAGCATCTTACACAATCTTTGTAAGAATCCTAGAAAGTACTCTCAGAAGAAAAAGGAAGGCTCACACTGGTGAAGTTTCTCATTCAAGGTCACCAAGCTGGTAGAAAGCAGAGCTGAAATTCTAACTCAGGACTGTCCAATTCCTAAGTCTCTACTTTTTCTCTTATGCTTTCTTGAATACAAGGAATTAGAATGAGTTGGTATTAGCTCCAGATTCTTACTGACATACTTACAGGGGTGTTTCTGTATCTTCCCAGGCTAGCAAATCCACCTGTGGATGAAGACTGGGTTTCAAGTTGTTTGTTACAACAGGACTCGGAGACCTGAAATCTAGAATATAAAATGGACTTGGCTTTAAAAGATTTTGTCATTCAGTTGTTCTGTTGAATTTTCCACAATAAAATTAAAAGCAAAAAAGAGAGACTCAGATATTTCTGCCACCGTAAAATCATATGATTTCCTCAAACAGGAACTAAAGAACATTATTAATGGTAACTGGAAAGAAATTCCACCACACACACAAAAAAAGGATATTGTAAAGGTAACAAATGTTAATATATTGAGTTTTCTAAAATCCCAAACTGATCTAGAATGGAAGAGATTTTGTGTGTCTTACTCCATCAAACACAAAAGTAAGAAGCTAGGGCATATATGGAACTCTACCCTCTCCTATAACTTCCTATAATCCTAAGTGAGACACCCTAAGGTAGGAAAGTCTCCAAGGCTGGGTAGCTAAAAGGTGGCAGACCACAGAGATTTCAACCTGGACTTCTACCGCAAAAGCCCATGTTTTCCCCTCTCCATTTCACCAGCATGTAGATCAGTCAACTTAATTCCTGACTTTCTCTATCTGCATCAAATATTCCCTTACCTAATGCTGTGACATAGCAGAGAAACTCAAGGTAATATAGTATGTGGTTCAGAGTAGTTTTAAGTTTGGCCATGGAGTTAAACTACCTCTATAAAAGCAGGCAGGTGAATTGGATGAGATTCTAAACCAGGGGGATGAGTTTCAGGGACCTACTCCCCCAGATACATCCCATGGCTGTACTGGATTTGACCCAACCATATGCCAATAAATAATTGCATCTCCTGATATAGTTCTCTGACATTCAAATTGACTTCAGTCTTTCTCAGGTTGCATTTAATCAAGAAACCAAGGAGCACAGTTTCACATCAAGCTCTTCTGCTGAAAAGGCCTATGTGCTTCTTTACTTAAGTCTGAAAGCTGAGCATTCACGGTGTTGAGTTCTCCCAGAGTGGTCCTCGGCATTGGAGGGCTGAGCCTTGGGTCGAAGAGATCACAGGATGGGGCAGAAGGTTCACTGGTAGTCTGAAAACAAAGCAACCAAAAACAAAATTCAGAAAAAAACGTGTCAGGTAATTTATCATGGCTTTCTCCCCAGAGACTTTTTTTTGTTTTTGGGGGGGAAAGGAAAATCCTATTTAGATGCAACTCAAGGAGAATTCTCTATTCAACAGGCAACACTCCTACTAATCACATCTCACCATGTACATGGTTGCTGCTTAGACAATCTTATGACCTCTTCTTAACTTAGTAACATCAAGTTGTCACAGAAAATACTCTACACCACCAAAATCACTCCAAATTGTTAATGTCTCCTCCGTTTTAAGACTTTTCTTAGGTAAGCCTTGCTCCCTACTATACAATTTATAAAATGTTCAATTGCTTATTTTATTACATTTCTGTTCACTTACATTGGCATCTTCCCTCTGGTTCCTGTTTTGCTCCAAAATCCTTTGTTGGTTCCGAGTAAATCTGTTTGAGTTAGCAAAATGTAAGCATTTAAAAGAAAACAAATATGAAAATGCTATAATCCTTTACAAATTATTAATATTCAAATATTCAGGAACAAAGACAAACCACTTCATCCCCATCGACTCCCAATGAAGTACTTTAATAACTTTTCCCCAGTTTATAGAGGTAATAATGCTTTAAGAGAAAACTGTGACAAAATGAATACATATTAAAAACAAATAATAATAACTCCATCACCTAGAAATCGTCCCTATTAACATCATGATGTGTTTCCTGTATTTTTTCTGTAAATTTTTTTCTGTAAATCTATGTTGAACTTTAGTTGCAATCATACTTCACATAATTCTGTTATGTTGTGAGCATTTTTCTAGTCAGAAATGCAATTTTTAGTGACCTGCAGATGTTACCTTAGGAATGTAGCACACATTTAACTACTCTTGATCTCAAACATTTAAGTTGCTTCCAATTCTGCCATTATAAATAATGTTCCATAAAAATACAAAGATTTTTTAACATAATTTCACTGTTTATCTTCATTTTTTATAAAGACACCTGATCCCTACTAAACATATTGACCTTTTACAACTTAAGTTGCTTGTACATTGCTTGTTCACTGGGAATAAAAGAGGAGCAGATAAGTAAACAATAGGTTTGGAAGAAGAATGAAGTTGAAGGCACAAGTCCAAGGTTTAAGTGTCAGCTTTATTATCGAGTAGCTATAGAATCATGGATATAACTTTTGATCCCAGTTCTCCATCTACTAAAAGAGACAAGCAGCATTTGAAGCATTTCCTCAGAATGTTATTTTCTGGGGCAACCCCTAGAAAGATAATACAAGTGGATTAATGTGGAAATGCTTTGCAAACTGAGAGTTCCTTCAGAATCATGTAGTATTAGTATCATAACACACTGACTGAAAGAACCTTACACACCTTAAGTTTGGAACATGCACTTAGGGTTCCTAAACTGGAACATGTAAGCTTCTTTCCCTTTCTAAAACACATGTTTTTTTCTTCCACCTACTTATGGCATTGGTTTCTTGTATGGTAGTTATAGGCTGGGTATGAACAACCCTCACAGATCCAGCCTTGAGTAACAAACTTCTGTTTTCTTATTTGTACAACTCTTCCCTAGATGTCAAGGGCAGAGACTTTGGGGGATGTTGGAATAGGGTGAATGTACTTTGCATATGGATGGATGTGAATCTTTAGGGAACAAGAGAGCAGACTGTGATGAATAGAAGAATGCCCCCTGTCCGAGATCTCTGTATCCTCATCATCCGAACAGTGAATATGTTACGTTAGATGGCAAATGGAAGGGAGACGTTAATAGGGAGATTATCCTGGATTACACAGACAAGCAATGTAAGCGCAAAGGCCCTTTAATGTGGAAGAGGCGGCAGAAGAGGAAGCAAGAATGAAACAATGTAAGAAAAACTTGACTGGATGATGTTGTCTTTGAAGATGGAGGAAAGGGGTCATGAGCCAAGGACTGTGGACAGGCTCTAGAAGCTGCACAAATTAAGCAAACGGATTCTCCTCTAGAGCCTCCAAAAAGGAACACAGCACTGTTGACACCTGGATGTTAGCCCAGTGAGACCCATTTCAGGCTCTTACGGGACTGTAAGGTAGTTAAGTTCATGCTTTTTTGAGCCACTAAAATGTGTGATAATTTGTTACGGCAGCCATAAGAAATGAATACACCAAGAACATTATCCTTTAGAGGTGAAAAAATTCTCTCTGAATCTTAAAACTTCAGTGTTTCTATATCACCACTGACTGAAGTTGGGTTTAACACACATGGTTCAGAGCTGAATGAGAATGAGCTGTTCACAGAAGGAACCCAATCTCCTGATACCTAGACCAAGTAAATACACATTTCCCTTCAGAGGAAGCTTTTAGTCAGTGGTCTTAATGGTTTGTAATAGAATTCCCCAAGATGAAAACCAGAAGGCAGCACTCTGGTGAAAAACATGCGGTTTTCCTTATTTTTCCACTTACTGAGTCATACCACAGAAAACAAAGGCAACAGCATGAGTTTGTTCAGCGTTCAGCCAACGCCCAGTCATCCCTTCATATGAATGGCTGCTGTCTCTGATAGGCAGTACATACGAGACAGTGAAGGAAAAAACCTATTCATAGCTATTGGTCTTACTTCACTGATTCTCCTGGTTCATTCTTGATCAATGGAAAAAATTCTAAAAGGCCCAGAGGGATGCTAATGGGGAGGACATAGAATTAATATCTAATGAGTGTCAACGGGCTAGCATTCCCCAAGGTGCTTTTATATACATTAACTCATTTAATTTTCAAAACAAAAATGAAACCCTCCAAATAGGTAGTATTATCTTTAACAAACAGGAACAAACCTCAGTCTTAAAAAAGTAAGCAATTTTCCCCAAATCATCAAGATTTGAATAAAAAAAAAACCAAAAAACAAACTTGAATCCAGTCCTATTCCCTATTTCCCTTCTGAATCACTAAGGAGGGACCACACAAGGGAAGACTGTCTCACCCCAAATGCCAACATCACTCCTATTGAGAAGGGAGGATCTAGAAAAAGCATGGGGAGCTCAGAGGCTCTAGAATTACTTCACAGGAAGTCCTACGGATTGGTTTGGAAAGAGAACATGAGACTTGCCTGGAACTGGGGTTTTCTTTTTTTTCTCTTCTCAGATTCCTAAAATACACCTATGGGTTCATTTATGTACAACTGTTTTATACAACATTTTAAAAGTGCCAAAATAGGTTGTTTTATGTAGGTGACATTAATTGTTAACCCAGTTCATTTACTTTAACTTTTTATTAGGTAACTTTCAAACCTATAGGAAAGTAAAAAGAACAGTATAATGAACACCCTTTTATTCATCAGCTAAATTTAATAACCATGTACCTTTGCCACATTTGCTTTATAGATTTTTCACTGAAATATTTAAAATCATATACTTTATGACATTTCATCCCTAGACATTGTGTATTATTTATTTATTTTTTTTTTAGAGTAAGAGAGAGAGGGAGCATGCTCGTGAGTCGGGGAGAGGGAGGAGAGGAGAAGGAGGAAGGAGGAAGGGAGAAAGGGAGAGAGGGACTCTCAAGCAGGCTCCATGTTCAACATGGAGCCCCATGCAGGGCTTGGTCCCATGCTCCTGGGATCATGGGATCATGACTTGAGCCGAAATCAAGAGTTTGAGGCTCAACCAACTGAGCCACCCAGATGCCCCTCATCTGTAGATACTTTAGAAGGTATTCGCCAAAAATAAAGACATTTTCCAACTGAACCACCTATTTAACCATTATATTTACCCCCTTACGTCCTGAAATATTAATATTCTATCCATGCTCAAATTTCTCCCATTAGTATCTAAATGCTTTTTTTTTTTAATTTTTTTTTTCAACGTTTATTTATTTTGGGGACAGAGAGAGACAGAGCATGAACGGGGGAGGGGCAGAGAGAGAGGGAGACACAGAATCGGAAACAGGCTCCAGGCTCTGAGCCATCAGCCCAGAGCCCGACGCGGGGCTCGAACTCACAGACCGCGAGATCGTGACCTGGCTGAAGTCGGACGCTTAACCGACTGCGCCACCCAGGCGCCCCTAAATGCTTTTTAATATTAGTGTGTTCAAAGTTGGATAAAGCCCACACATTACATTTGGCTGCTGTTCCTTGCTTTTAATTATTTTATTTTTTTACCTTTGGACACCCCCCCTTCCCCCATTTCTCCTACTCCCCACCCCTGGCAACCACCACCATGTTCCTCTGCACCTAGGAACTTAGTTGGTTTTGTGTTGTTTTTGCTTTTCTTGTTTTTTTGTTTTTGTTAGATTCCACATGAAGCTATGTGTATACACAGTACTCTACATGAAAACAGAGGAAGATGTCACTTGTCAGTCTAGGCATGCCACAGGGCTGGATTGGGGCTGGATTCTGGATGCTCATTCTCCCCCCAGGCCTGTCTACTTTCCATAGCTTCACATACCATACAAGCTCTTGCTCTGCTCCTATTAACCAACGACCACTCATTCTGCAGTTCTCTCCTCACATGGCACCTCCTCAGACACACTCCCCCTGCCTTCTCTCCACCCAGATTAAGTCCGGCTGCTATTCTCACCAGACAGACCTCTTGCACTTGGTTCCACTGTACTTATTCCAATTTCCCAGTGTGTATATTTGTACATACGATTTAAGATATTTTTCTGACTTATAGGCTTGCCTATTACAATAGATTATAAGACTCTTCTTTTGATGAATGACTTAGAAACAACTTAATGCCTAATAACTGTGAGAAACATGGACTATTATTATGCAACTATTAAAAAAAATGGTTTATAGGGCACCTGGGTGGCTCAGTCGGTTGAGCATCTGACTTCGGCTCAGGTCATGATCTCACAGTTCATGGGTTGAAGCCCCACGTCAGGCTCTGTGCTGCTAGCTCAGAGCCTGGAGCTTGCTTCGGATTCTGTCTCCCTCTCTCTCTGCCCCTCCCCTGCTCATGCTCTGTCTGTCTCTCTCCCTCTCTCTCTCAAAAATAAAAAAAATTTTTTTAAACAAAAATACAAAATGGTTTATCAAAAGCATTTAAAAACATAGACTAAGGGCGCCCAGGTAGCTCAGTTGGTTAAGCATCTGACTCAATTCAGCTCAGGTTATGATCTCACAGTTCATGGGATTGAGCCCTACATCAGGCTCTGTGCTGACAGTGTGGAGCCTGCTTGGGATTCCCTTTCTCCCTCTCTCTCTGCCCCTCCACTACCAAATAAATAAACTAAAAAAAAAATAGGCTATACCAATACTTGTTATACAATGAATAAAATCGAGAGAGAAACAAAAGCATATGTTCTCTACATGATCACAATGATAAAAAAAATTTAGGAAAAAATAATTTTGTCACTAACATTTTAGTATATTTACAATTTTGCCTTCATACTTTTCTGAATGGCAATTAAAAAAAAATCTATGTTCATATACAAAATGTCCTTACTGACTGGTACGGTTTTACACAGACTATTTTCTTCATATAAAATATCCTCCCAGGGTGCCTGGATGGCTCAGTTGATTAAGCATCCGACTCTTGACTTCAGCTTGGGTCATGATCTTGTGATTCGTGAGTTTGAACCCCACATCAGCATCAGGCTCTGTGCTGGCAGTGCAGAGCCTGCTTGGGATTCTGTCTCCTCTCAGTCCCTCCCCTGCTTGCTCTCTATCTTCCTCTCAAAGAAAAATATACTTTAAAAAATTATTTAAAAAATAAATAAAATATCCTCCCATCTCCTGTGCACATTCTATGTTTTTGTCCATCTCAAACTTAGAATAAATCTCCCTGCTTTGTTTACACTCTTCATTTGTTTGAGTCTACAATGTACTCTGTGCAGACAGTATCAGGTCCAAGCCCCACCATGGCCAAACGTTTATATACAGCCTGAGAGTGCTTAAGAATGCTCCTGGCACTGCTCAGATGTGCTCTCATTCTTGCAAGCCATATCACAAGCTCCCAGAAGGCCAGGACAACATTCCCTATCTTGGAAGGAAGGCGGCCTTATCCTGAAGTTGTTCTTGATCTTAACTGAGGTTCACCTGGTAGACACTCTTATAAGAATGCTGAGCAACTGGTGGGAAAAATAGAATTGGAAGAGGGGAGGGTGCACCATCAGCTCACCTCTCACATCCAAGGATGGCATTATTCAAATCCTCATTCACTTGAATTAGCTCAATGGTTACGTCTTCATTCTCCACCACCACAAGCAGGTCCATGATCCTCTCCTGCATCTCCCGACATGTCTTATAAAGCTTCTGTCAAAGAAAGGAGAGACATTTCTTCTTCCGTGCTAGGGAAGTTCTATAAAGACAACCGATTTGCCAATCTGTATATGCTGGTTATCAACTCCGCAGTGAGTCACCTATGGGAGATTACTGAAGGATTTAATTATGCACAACTCATCCTTCTTATCAGAAGGCAATGAGTTACACATGATTATACTTTCCTCTAAAAACCAAAATAGGTGTCATAAGGACACTATGGTATACTGCACAGAACACCAGGCTAGAAATTAGAACTGGTGTACAGGAATTCTAGAGGTATGGCTTACTAGCTGTAGAATACAGAAATCACTTGTTTTCCAAATCTGTTTCCTTGTTTGACAAATCAAAGTTATATTAGTTGCCACATCTATACCTCAAGGGGTGACATAAAAAGCAAATGAGATGTGTATAATGAGGAACTCCATAACTATAAAGCACTACATAAAACACAAAATGTTTATTGTCACTATTAGCAGTAGTACAAGAAAGTAGTAGTTAAAATACATTTACAGCAGCATAATTTTCCTATGATGTTTTACTTAAATAAATAAATTTTACAACATTCACATTTCAAGGTAAACTGAACCAAGATTTAAAAAAAAAAAAAAAAACAGTCATGGATACTATCCTTATGTGGACTACCTAGAATCACTGCATTAAGACAGGACTGCACTCCCCAGTCTCCTCAGAAGCATCAGGGACACCTACAGTTGACCCACGGATTCAGAATCTCCAGGACTGAGGGTCTGGGAATCTACATGTGTTTTTAGTAAGCATCCTAAAGTGTTTATGTACACAGACAATTTGAAAACTGCTGCCTCACAAGACTTCCGTCCTCATAGGCAAGGCTGAGGAGCATGAAACTAATATTCCTATTTCTTCAAACCTACCTTAGCTAGAATTTGTAAACATAATAGTACATTAAGGTCAGGCGAAAACATCTTCAAAACGAGAGCTACTCAACTTGCTAAATCGTCAGACTATTCCATTACCTGACTCATTTCCCCTTGAGACAGACAGACACACAGAAAAACTTACAGTTGGCAAAACCATTTAGAATCTCAAACAATCTATTTCAAGGTCCTGACAGGAAATCACTTAATAAATCCATCAAACCATTAATAACTGGCATTGAGACTCAGAGGTAAAAGCCCCTACCCACTACAGAATCCTAACAAAAATATTTAGAAGACAAAAGGAAACGAAGATGAAAAAAACGATACAGACAGATGAACAGACAGGCTCTGGGTTTTGTCACTGCAGTATGCATCCAAAAAAACTGTCCTATTTGCTAATGATGTGGCTACTATCAGGAGGGCTTGGCAAACTTTTTTCTTAAAGGTCCAGATAATATTATTTTTTGCTTTGCGGACCACATGTTCTCCGTGAGAACTATCCAACTCTTGCCATTATAGCATGAAAGTAACCAGGGATGATATGCAAACAAATGGGTGTTTTATCCTAATAAAACAAAGAGAGGGGGCTTCCTTATGACCCCCTGGAATAGTACAAAGAAAACAGATCTCAGACTCAGTAGACCAAAGGCCTCTCCATATACATACCTAACATGGGATTTAATTAAATCTTAGATTCAGTTTTATTTTGTTTTGCTTTTTTATGCATCTGTAAAACAAAGATACCAACTATCTTGTAAGGTTGTTGTGAGAATAGAAAATGGTAAAGTTGAAACCCCATGGTGTCTGGCATACAGTGGGCAGTCAATAAATGTATTAATGATTGCATAAGGAAGTATCACTAGAAGCTTAACTACATAACTAATACAATCCTGTAATAGTCATGCTATTACTCAGGACCTAATATCATGCAAAAGAGAGAACGAAGAACGGCATTCGATATAACCCCCATGATGAATGAGAACTTTTCCCTTAGTGAGTATAATGAAATTGTTCTCCTTCTTGATCACTGGCAGCCTTGCTACAGCGATGTCAAGATCAAGGAAATACAATGGCTGTTAGATACCTGTGACAAAAATGTAGAAATTAATTTCAAATGAATTTGCAGCCAATATCAATAGCCCCTGGTCACAAGAAGACCCTCCATTTGCCCTCTCAAAAGACAGCTGGAATGGAAATATGAAAGAACACCGCATCTCTCAGCAGGTTTGCAAAGGAGAATTTGAAAAACCTCTTCAAAACCCAGCCCACTCTGATCTTTGCAATTGATGTCTGTCTCACAGGAGGGCCAAGCCACCTGGAAACAGCCTAGATCAAGCACCATGAACCAAGAGGACAGGTCAGAAGTTCCCCACAGCAGGCACCTGTAGGGCCATGGATGTGGGGAGCCAGGGGGAGAGAGTCAAAACACACAGCAACAGCTGTTGGTGCATATGTCCATCACGGAGCCCCTGGAATTGCACCCCTTTAATACCGTATCAAAGCAAAGGTAGGCTTCTCAGTTAAAGGGAATTTAACAATTAATTCAAAAGTCTTTGGAGCAAAACAAAAAGGAGCTCATTAAGTGCTTCCTCTCCTGACATCCAGATGGCTCCTGGTCCTCCACAGAGAACTCAGGGATTAAGGGAGGAGGCGCTGTCGCATTTTCAATTCCAGCGGTAACTGGATCACGTTCAGCAACACAACACAACTCATGAAAAGAAAACCAGAAATGCCTGAATATCTCCCCTGAAAAAGTAAAAGCGGGAAGAAATATGTTTCTTGCAAGCCTTCTCTGGAAGTACTATCTGCAGGGCAATACTCCTATTATCAGCCCATAACATATTTCCTCCCTCTCAGTCCTACCCACCCAGACTGCAAGAGACCCAGAGAACGTCTCTATCTGCAAAAAAATAAAAACCGCCACCCTAAAACTGAACATTTCTCAGTTTAACTTGCTTGTAGTTTTTTTTTCCTTACATAGACATCAGCTGAGTGAATAGCAAGTTAACTGTCAATACTCAGAAAGATCATTAACTCATTAGAATCCTCTGACCCTTTTCTCTAACCAAATATGGTCAACATTTTATTTCTCCAAAAGCCTTTGTCTTCAGTAACCCCTTAGCTCTTTTTTCCTAAATCATTAATTCTTCAACAAAAAAGCATTGATCTATTGAATTCAACAGAAATTTAATGAACTCATTCAGTGTGCAAAGCATGTACAATAAATACACATAGTTATATGGATTTAGAAGTATAAGGCTTAGTTACTGCCTTCAAGTTGCTTCCAACCCAGCTAGAGAGGTATGTAAAGACTGGTTAGCAACCTATCCTAGAAAGTCAATTTGGGGCTCAAAATGAGAAACAAGCTGGTATAATGGATAGGACATAGGTTCAGGAGAACAAGGTTCTCCCCCCATCTCCGTGACTTGCCACTGTATAGGCACATCAACCCCTTTTTGTTAAGGAAGGGAGATGGTCTCAGTGACACTGAAAGTCCCTTCCACAAGTTTCTGAATGGTAAAGACAGTAAGAGTGTTTAGTGAAAGAGGACTTTTTTAAATTTTACATCCCCCCCCAAACTGTTACAAATTATCCTTACAGGATGAAATTTTAGATTCAACTAAAATTTTCAATGAAATTTTAAACTTCTCTGCTAAGTTAGACTAAGGTTTTCTCCAGTTGTACTTCAAAATCAGAGCTTGCTTTTTTATTCTACTGAAGACTAAAACATTCTTTTCTTTCATTGTCCTACTGGGGCTAGGCCAAAACAAGAGAAGACTGAAATGGGAGGTACCAGGGAAGTTGGCTATTCAAGTTAAAACTGGCCTAAAGCCAAGTGTAAAATGCCAAGAAAGCAAAGGCAAGACTCACGCTCCGATCTTTCATCCATGTGACCAGAGTAGATACTCTGGACTCATCAAAATACTCAGACTGGGATGCAGCTCTGAATCTTTGTACCCCAATGTGGCAATCTAAAATAAATCCAGGGGTGCCTGGGTGGCTCAGCTGGTTAAACATCCGACTTTGGCTCAGGTCATGATCTCACAGTTTGCGAGTTCGAGCCCCGTGTCAGGTTCTGTGCTGACAGTTCACAGCCTGGAGCTCACTTTGGATTCTGTGTCTCTTTCTCTCTGCCCTTCCCTGACTCACACTCTGTCTCCCTCTCCCTCAAAAATAAACATTAATAAAAATTTATATTTAATTTAAATATAATTAAATTAAATTAAATTTAATAAAAATTAAAATAAAAAAGATAAAGAAAATAAATCCAGTTTCCACCCCCAATCAAGTTCAAAGTCCAGGAACAATATGGCGGCAAGGAAAGGGGTTTACCACACAAAATACTTCTACTGCTTAAGTGTCCAACAAAGAGCAAGAGCCCTGCTAGTTAGCAGGGCTTCAGGATCTGATTGTTCAGCCTGGGCTGGAAGAATAGAAAAGGGAGTTTGTGAAAGTCTACTAGATTTCAGATGGAAGGCCACACACAGGGAATGGGCTGCAAATAAACAGAACAGCTGGTAGCCAGTAAAGCACTCACAGACAAAACCAGAAGAGATTCCAAGTACAGAGACTAGTTTTAATGTAAACAAATTGCATAATAAGACTGTGACCACTGGTAAAGTATACGTACAAGAAAAGCCAATCATTTTTTTTTTTAGAGTCTTCCTATGTGTTGAATGCCTTTTGCCCTCCAGATCCCCCAGCCACACTCTTCTGCCCTGCTCTATGCCCTGGGGCCTGGCCTGTAGGGAACACATCACCAGGTCCCCTGCCCTCTCCCTTCTGATGGAGTTCAGCACACAGCAGGCACTGGCAGGAAATGGGAGGGAAAGAGGACAGTGAGATCTGGATATTTTTCCGTCTACTCCTTCCACCAAAAGCACCTCTACTCTGAAGGCTCTTCATCATTCTTTCCTTTGAGTTCTGGCAAAACTTCCCTCTTGCCTATTTATGCGTAGGGATATTAGTTAATAGCACAGGATAATGAACTAGCTCCTGTAGTTCCCTTAAGCCCTGCAATATCTTGCTGAATAAATAGTACCTTGATTAACTCTCTTCAGAAATTATCCAAATTGGCCATGCCATCTGTTTCAC